CATATGAGTAAGGCTGGTTTTACTCTGATGATGCAACTCTTTTCCAGTCCTATTTTCAGAGCCTTCTAAACTAAGTGACTCATCCTCCTCCTCTGTATTGGACAATATTTCTGGACTATTCAGAAAGTTGTACAGTAATGTATCAGACTGTGTTTCTCTGCTATTCATAAGGTTTTCCCTGGCCATTTCTTTGAGAAGTGGATGGCCTCTCCCTTCTTCCTAATTTGGCTCAGTCTGCAAGCCACGCTGATACCTGTGCACCATGTGCACCCCGCTGGGTTTGAAACACCAGTGGCACAAGCCTCAAGACTCACAGCAACACGTCACCACAGTAGGACAAACTGATAAACAAGTTTGTCTCCCTTAGCTGTTCGAAACCTCTCCAACCTCCCCTTACCTGAATCCCTACTGCTGCCTCCTCACTGTCCCCATCCCCCTGGCCTTTATCTGTCCTTCTCCCCTCCTCCTGCCTTGGCGCTTGTGGGTGTCACCTGGGTTCCCTCTCCTCACCTGGATCCTTGCAGCTGACTCCTCCAGGTTGTCATGAAGTTTACAATTTTATAAGAATAATGTGTAGCTTTAAATCATAAGTTTGGATTACAACAGAGAAGGTTTCTTTGAAATACACATTGCCTTAAAAACTTAAGAATGTATGAATTTCTCTCATCACATTCCCTCTCTCCGATAAGATGGTAAAAGCATTTATGTGTGATTCTCTGCTTTCTCTTGAAATGTGTTTTCCTTAGGAAGAACTGAAGGATCAGTTTTCAATCTTTGCCAGCCATCTACGCTTCCTCTTCTCATAGTGAAACTTTCTGGTCTGGTTCATTCTTTTCCTACTAAAAAGCAGCAAACGTGAAAATGCTTGGTATGCACTGCTGTGGTCATGCAGGCCTTCATTGGAGAAAAAGCTTTCCTCGTATTTATAAAATAAAATTAAACTGAAATGAATTTTGGGTCAATATTTCAAGTCTTTATAATTAAAATACAGATGTACAAAAACTATAGGCACTAAAATCTTGACTGACAGGCATAAATACTAACAATGATCTATAAAATCTTCAGTGCATTGTTACCAAAACATAGTCTTCAGGAAATATATCATTGAGGGAAACATACACATACTTGTGAAAAATATATGCCAAATAACATAACTATGTGCCAAAAGAAAGTAATTCTAAAGGAATCAGAAATAAAGATAATAATTTTTAAATGACACTTACCAATCACAATGGAAGACTCACAGTGATAATAACCATTGCTTTGTTTTTTCTTCACCATGGAACAAAGGTCTATACGATGTAAGATTTCTTCTCCAAATCTGTGACTGATAAAGTTTTCATAGAATTCAGGGTCTATTTTTTTCACTCCCTTGAAATGACAAAACAAAATCACATCAATAAATCATTTCACCCAGAACCACTTCCCAGTTCATATTTATACCACTTTCTTAGAACCTAGTATTACATTTTGATATATAGTACTGCCTACTGGCACTTGAAACTGCACACCACAACACTGTCATAAAGTTGTTTTTAAAGCCTCCTTGCTTATATAAAGAAACGAACATTAAAGAGTCTTGGGTTTGATGCTGGCAGTGTTCAGATCTTTATATACTTTAAGCTTTAGAAACAATGAAGTCCATCAGGTAGAAATGAGAGAAAAGAAACCATCTCCAACAACAATGGACATATGAGTGAATTTAAAAAAAAAAAAAAAGGCGATGTGGATCTTAATGTTTTAGAGTGGGAGAAAATGTTCTAACAAGTTGGATACAATTTTTTTTTTAATTGTGATTTGGGTGAAATTTACAGAGCAAATTCACTTTCCATACAGCAATTCACATATACTTTGTCTCATGACATTGACTACAATTTACCACAATGCAACAGCTCCACTCCCCCTTCCTCCTGATTGTTACCTCTTCCTTGTGTCCATCCCTCCATGCACTCCTGCCCCCTGAGCTGTCTCCCTGTGCATAAA